AAATTTGTATTTTTTAACTCTAATTTATGGCATCTCTGAGCAAAACGAGGCCGAATTTGCAGCTAATTCAGAACAAGTAAACTCTTTGGATTGAATAACGGAGGAACCCTAATTCTTCATCTAATTAAAGTATACTCCCAAGTCTTGTAGAGTTGGCGGCACGGATACGGTGGCAACGATCGAGTGAATTTACTGAACCAGATAGCTAAGAGACGAATACTGTGGTGCAAGAGGGAGGCTTTGATAGGAGCTTATGAAAGAGGATTGTGGACTAAAAGGTCAGACCTAAATCAACATTATCAGTACACTGGGGGGATGTGGGAACCAGCGGGGAGTGTGAAATGATCACAGCTAGGTTTAGATAAACCATTTTTCGTATTGGAGTAGATTTTCGAGACTACCAGTAAATCAGTAATATGAGATGTATTCACCAGTAAGATATTGTGATATTAAAGGTGAGATGAGCATATGAGGACAGAAGAAGAGCTATCAAAACTATTCAGCAGACAATAGGTCAAAGTATCGAGCTGAATAGTCCCTTTGACGAATTGTAGTGTAGTGCTAAGAATGGCACGGCTCACTGATGATGCCGGCGAAACGTCTGAGAAAATATACCAAGTCCACGGTTCGACTCTGGAAATTATCATGCCTACTCTGGACTCTAGACAAGGTGTGTTCTTCAAGATCTTCCTGCCAATATGACCAAGTTGTGAAAACAAGCTCAAACAAGTTCTATGTAATACAAGGAGACCGCAACTATGCTAAAGTGCACACCATCTTGGTCTGCATACTTCATAAAGTTGGTTGGATTTAGTTTATTCAACTTGGTCTCACATTCAGCAAGAGATGAATCAGTGAGTTTTCTTGACTCGTTAGCTTTAATATAGTTGTAAGATTGATAGCCGAGGGTTTCCGTAGTACGACGGACTGAAGTTTTCCTCTGTTACATGGGAATCGAGGTGGACTGTTGCTTTGGAGACAGTAGCGGTCGAAATATTTCAATCAAACTAATCTACAACTGGCCAATCAAAACTTGCCGTTAGAAACCTTATAAACTCTTCAGCAAACACGAACACTTGGAATGGAAGTAAGATGAACAAATGTAGACCAGCATACTCCTCAAAACCCAACACTTTTGAAATTTTCCAATAAAAACATTTGACTGCTGGCGACAGGAAATCATGATTCTTATTCTGTTGGCATCGAGCTTAAACAATCTTTGTTAAATACACTTTCACTTGAAATGGAAGTGCCTTGAGCATTGCCTTTGTTTACTCATTTCTGAGAGACGATATCATGAAAATTGTGAACGAGATTGTTCAATTTGTGGCGTCATAAGCGAGTCTGTTCGTAATTTCCCCTTCATTTAAAGTAGGCATTTGAGACTATAAGTAAATTAGTTATATAAGATGTATTCCGCCAACTTCGTTTAAGGTGAAGAAGGACTGATAGTTGAATTTTTCCACAATCATATGAGTAGACATGATATTTCTATTTAATTTCGCATAGCTTTGCTTTCATAAAAGGTGTTTTTTTACAGGGTGGACTGCAGTTTCAACCTCGCCTAGGCCTCATAAGCACCTCCTACGGGACTCGAACCACGACACGGTAACCACTACACCACTTTACCGCGAGTGCTCTTGGATTACAGAGCAGATGCAAATTTCAATGAAGTTCAGACAGTTTCCATTCTGTGACGAGGTTGTCGAGGAAGCAAAGTGGTATTTGATATATAAATAAACTACGCTACTTATTTTACTTTTATAAGTGGGTGACAAGATTTATGCGAGGTCGAAAAGGATGAGAATACCTTTTGGGTAAGGAAGTGTATGAGAAATTCAACGGAACTTTCAAATACCAGTCTCCTGATCACCTTAAACGAAATATGCTAAATACTTTTCCTATATAAATGATATATTCGGAGTTACGAAAATCTACCTATAAGTGCATATTTTCAGTTGGTAAATCTCAATTATGCTGAGTGTGCAAAATCGTTTTCTTCACTTCTCTAAGCCGCTGTGCTTTTATGCCAATCTAATACGAGACAACCAAGATAGCCTCATTTTGCTCCTTCAAGTCTGCAATACAAAAGGACTTCCAATTGGCGCGACTTTATACAACGTCCAGTTCTAGACAACGCAAAATACAATAAGGCAAGATTGGAAAATATTATTGTAATGGTTTTAGTTCAGGCCTATTCTTAAATTAATCAGCAAGACTCATCGAATTTTCACTTTTGTTTATGTCCTTCCGCATATTCCCTTGATTTGAGTGAAAAAAAATTAATTTTGGCTTTTATCCCTTAAACGATAATATAAATAAGTATTACCAATTAATTTGTGTTTTAAATAAGGATGGAAAGTTATCAAAGATGATATTTATGTTAGTTAGGAGAATATTAATTTCAATGTTTCTCGAACAATGTCACTGCTGCGAGTGTGCTTGGGTGACAGGGCAATTAGGAAGTTCAAGGAAGGCCAGGCAGATTATACGCTGCAATGTCATGGTTCGAGCCCCGCTGTGGGTGCTGATAAGACTAGTTGAGGCAAGGTTGAAAGTGCAGTCCATTTCAGCTTGGATGAGAATAGTTTATGTGCAATTTAATGGAAGCATCATGTCTACTCATATGATTGTGGGAAAATTCAACTATCAATCTCCTTATCAGCTTAGATGAAATTAGGTGAACAGATCACATAATTCCCCTTCAGCCGGCGATTTACAGACGATTTTTGACTTGAGTAGATCTCAAGATGGGACCTGTAGTCCAACCTCGACGAGGATACATTTTAGGCAACAAATCTAAGTGCATTGTGGCTTGACCTTCCATTTCGAAGGAAAAGTTAGTCCGAAGGAATTCATGATTTGGTCTCACCGGAAGCTGAAAGAGGATTTCCGCGTAGGGAGGAAGATTGTTGAATTGAGCAAAGAGGTCTTCGGCTCACCGTTCTGCGACCCTGAGGAATCTGTGTCAAGCTTTCGTCCTTACCGCCTTGACAGACATCGTCAGGGCAGGTATCCATATTTCATGAAATAGAGCAAAATCATATTAAACCAAGCGAATAGGTGGCTGGCTTCACTTCGCGATCTTAACAAGGAATCCCATATTGTGAAGTATGAATCCATGCTCGGCGGTACAGACAAAAGCTTAGCACAGATTCCTCTGGGTCGCAGGACAGTGAGCTGAGGACTTCTTTGCTCACGAATTCCTTCCACCAACTTTTTCATCCAACTGGAAAGTTGTCACAATATATCATTTAGGGATTATTCGAAACTCTATTTCTCTTCACACCTTTGTAAGCCAACTGCAATTTGTTGACATTCTGAAGCCTAATTGTCTGTTTGTGGAAAAAGTGCAACTGTCACTTCTTACCTCACTTTAACCGGCCTCGGCTGACTGGTTTTTTTATTCAAAAGTCTACTGACGATGCTGACTACTGACGAAGGCGGACTCAACTCAAATTGATTGGCTCTCGACTGACAATGTGTTCTCTTCACCTAAACGCCTCCGTGTCCGGTATTCCCCGCCGCCCAGCCTCCTTCTCCACATCTGGGACCATGTTGCCTCTCAAGACCGTTTTCAGAACCAGGCCAACACGGCCCAATGTGGCTCCCAGCCGAAGGCATGTTGCCCAAATATGACGCTTCTTCAGAAGGTCGCGCCATAATGCACGGCTGCCTCTAACTCGACGGTACACTTCTCTCAACCTACAACCACAGCCTACCCTTAACCGACCGGATCGGCCCTGATTTTCGTTCGAGCTTCGGTATCATCTTCACTTGGCACATGTCGATTGGTTTGCCGCAGGTCTTGTCATTTATGCGCCTCCGCTTCAGCCTCGAAAACCGACTACTCGCTCGTCAACCCACCCCTCCGTATTCATTCAACTCCCGGCATGGCAACACACAATGTCCGACCCGCCCTGGCAACTAGAACTGCTGCCAACGCCCCTTTGCGTCGCCCTGGCGCTAGCAGACTTTCTGCATCTTTTCTGCTGCCTTTCAGGCTGTCCAGCCTCTTAGCGCACTAGCGTCCTAATGACGGTTGTATCGTTGTGCCGTTGTGCTGTTGCGCTTGTCCACTGTCTGTCCTACATTGTCTTCAGACACAAAAGCAGTACCAAACACTCTGACCGGATGTTCCACATCAGTCCTGTTCACATCTTACCGAACTTTGTGTGATTATCGCTTTCATTGCATCACCCATACGAAGGCGACCCAAAACAAACGAGCTGACACTTGGTCAACTTTACATCATAAAAATGTCACTCCCTTTTGTCCATTCAGCTCGAGGCAATTAGGGATGGTTGCTTTTACACCAATGAAATGCCTAGAATGCCATTGAATTGGCCTTATTTTCACCTTACCAAATGCTCTTTCGTCCAGAATCGACAACACTTTTCACCTCACCCCAACTGTACTCGAACCCAGGCAGTGTGCGAAACTTCACCATACAGCAGTCGGTACCAATGAGGAGACAGAGGAGTTTAGGCAAGCCAGGCCTCTCTGATTTATATTTTTATGGTGTCGCGGGTACCAATAGGTGAAGCCTATAAATAATACGTATAAACAAAACTTGGCAATACAACTCGAAAACATAGTGAGTAGGTTTAGGCGTAGTAAAGAGATAGCAACCGGGACTCGAACGACCTAACGATAAACTCTAAACCCAACAAATGATACGAGTGCCTAGTACAAAAGTCACCGTTGATGTGGGTGCTGAGTGGCCAGACGCACAGACCTCTTTATGGGTTGGAGACGATCAAATTCTTGGGAAACGAAAGTGTCTAAAGTGTTGGTTCGACCTCGTCTTACCTATCCCTGTGTCATCTGGCATTGACGTGGAACATTCCAAAATGTTTCACCGGCATCGTCAGTGAGAGGTGCCATAATCAACATAGAATTACAACTTAACAAAGTGACAAGTGAAGGCAGTCTGGCTGTCTGAAATCTGGCTGTCTAAGAGCCTTCAATTCCTGTCATTGATTACTCCATATTCGGGGATTTAGAGCAGATGATGCCCATGTCCGTGGCCGTGTCAGTGCCTGGTACTCTTCTTTTCCCCAGGTTTCTAACCCATGACTCGATTATACTCTTTCTCATCCCCACCCACATTGTGTTTCACTTTTTAGGGGCCTGTGTCCAGCTCAAGTCATAATCGTTAGTGTGAAAATGCACTGCCTCCTATTTTTTTCCTTTGAATCACGATAAACATACTCGTCTCGTCCTTTAAGTTGGCACTCACATCTAATTGTTAAGCTTACTTCCATTTCGAGTTGAAGTGTTGCGTGAAGAGATTCGAAGGTCGGTTCCACCAGAAGTCAACGGCGGATTCCTCTTGACCAACTGTCGATTGGCTTTATTGGAGCATTCATGCTGACGCTGTTTCCGAGGCAATCTTCTTCGATTCCGGTGAAAAGGTGCTAAGCTTTCGT